ACTGATTCCTTAACAATTTGATTTCTGGGACCGGGGACATGGCTCAGTAGAATAGGTGCTCCCCTGGCAAGCGCAAGGGACTGAGTTCAATCCCCAGTTCCAAAAATAAATTTTTTTTTTATTTCTGTATAATGCTCCAAAGATTTCTTTCACTTAATTATATCCATTAATTACCATATTTGAAGTTAAAAACAGTATTTATGAAACAAATTGTCTAATCCTATAAATTATATTTTCAAATGATCAATACTGAAGTCACAAAGGGTCACAGAAAGTGAGACCTTGCTTTGTATTTCTGAAGTCTCTTTACCATCTTGCAAAACAGATCAGTGCGTTCTAGGACTGGGATTCGACACAGTGGTAGAGAACGCTTGCCTAGTGTGTGTGAGGCCTTTCAGTTTGATCCCCAGCACTGCACAAAAAGACAAAAGCAGTAGATTTGAATGTCTCCTCTGCCTTCAAGCTGTTGCAACATCACACACCATGAGGTCTCTGGAAAACTCTACTATACACTCATGAGAGAACACAAGTAAAAATGAAATGATACGTCATTGTTATGAGACTAATTTTTCCATCAGCAGAGACTCTGAGAGGGTCTCATATCCACATCATCAGCTTGAGAGTTATCTTTATAGAGGACAAACGCATTCTCAACTAGTTCTCAGCAGTCAATACAACAGTGTCTTTGGAGTCTACTTTGTCTCAATGATTCAAAATGACCAAGGAAAACAGCATCCACAGAACAGTATTTTCTGAGAGTGGAGTCTCAGTCTGTTGGCCAGGCTGGGCTTGAACTCACAATCCTCCAGCCGCAGTCTCTCAGTAGCTGTCTTTCTTGTCTGCCTGGCAAAAATTAGGAAACTGCTTATTGTATACAAGTTTTTCTCATTTCAAAAGCTCTACAAAAAAAGAGGTAATGAATTCATCAAAACAAAACTACATGTGGACCTGTAATATAGATGAAGAATTTTGTAGTCACAAATCTGTCATACTAATTCTCAGACAGTAAACCTCTCCTAAAAAAAAAAAAAATTCAACCAGAAAAAAAAGAAAAAAAGAAAGACAGACAGATCGATCGACCACAGTAAAATCAAAAAAGACCAAAAACAAACGAGGCAACTGGGCACATAAACCCTGGCCACAGTGAGGATTTCTATTTCTCAGACAGTAAAGCAACAATAAAAATACTGCATTGACTTCACACATGATCTTTTAATTGATGTTGAAACAATTCTAAAATTTTGTCAATACACACTGGAAAACTAAAGAGAATGTTAAGTAATTGGGCAGAAAGAGCACTGTGGTTCTTTGAAGACTACTGTATCTCAGCAGACATACTAGTTTAAAGAGGTGTAAACCTATAGGCAGTACACAGGCTTTCTGGAAAGATGATAGAATCTAAGTATTTTTTTCCTAGAAAACAAATGTAATAAATAGGGGTTACAATTTTAACCAAGAAGTGGCTACGTCCCAACATTTTATACAAATGACCACAGTGAACATTTCATTTTGACCAATTATAGAGTCCGTCACATATTAAGTACACTGTATAGTATGAACCAATTAAAAATATTGGCAGTATAACATCATCTATTTAAGAACTTATCTGAAGAGGCTATGAAGGTAAGGTACCATTTCTCCAAAATTGTAATTTCACCAAAGTGTGCCTTGATTTTTCTATATATAATAATTTATTCTGGCTAGGATATCAAGATGAGTGTGAGATTTTGCAAATTGCTAGAAACTCCCAGTGAAAAGAAGTGCTCTGGAACTGAGGAGGTCTTCTTTACACTGCAACCAATCTGAAAAGTGATTATTGCTATAAAGTTGAGCTAAATTTGGTGGTTCTTAAAGTGTCACAATATAATCGTTCCATAAGAGGCCAGTGAACCACTATGGCACTGGTTACAAGATGCTACGCCTGAGAAAAGGATGCAGTAGAAATGCGTGGCATGTAGCTGGCCCTGCTGTTTAATTTACGCAACACAGACTCACAGATCTTACCTAGGTGGAACAAATGAGATTTTACAGCGTCTGTAATACTGTATCTCCTGCCACGTCATCATTCAGAGCCTACTTAGTGATCTGAAATCAGGAACTGAGATCAAACCTGACTCTTATCCACTACGTATAAAACAAAATATTAATGGTACCCATGTAAGTTTTTTCCAGTATTAAAAGATAATAAATTTAACACGTTCCATTTTCACAGCTATTATCCTCATGTTAAGGACAAAAGCATTTGTGGTTTATCCACTTCCTGATCATAGTAAAAACAGATTTTGGCTCATACTGGATTTTATTGTAGATTTTAGTAAACTTGAGTAGCAAATTTCTGATAGTGTTCTTAAAAGGCTTTAAAATTTTCTGACTAATGAAGTATCCAAAGTGATCCAACTTAACTGAATACTACGGTGCCAACACCAGTAGCTTAACAATATCACCGGTTAGCCTACCAGTTCTTACTTCTTTAATCTAATTTAAGCTTTGCTTTAGCTTCACCGATTTGCACAAAACACAGAAACACAGTTTAAAACACAGTCACTTAAAAAACATCCATGTAATTAGCACCCAGAAATAAAATACTGCCTGCACCCTAGGTTCTCCCTCATGACATTCCCTATCCCTTTTCACAGTGGCATCCATTAACTTGATTTTAGTGATAATCTTTCCCTTGATATCTTTTTGCAGTCCTAATAACAGAACGGCTACATAATACAGTTTGATTGCATAGTACATGTTTGGCTCTGGGACTTCTTCATTTACTATTGTGCTCATGAGACGTCTGTGCTTCTGGAGCTAACTGATGTTGCGATACGGTACTGCACTTCTTTACACATGTCACTGGGGCTGGTTAGTACACTACTAGAGCTGCAGATGGCTTATGGAGAATTTTTACCCTTAGAATATTAAGTGTTCAAATCCAAGGATATAGGATGGCTCTCCGTTTATGTAACTCAACTGACTGCAAATAATTTTAGGTCTTGGGGCTGGGGAGATGGCTCAGTAGAATAAGCACTTGCCTGGCAAGCATATATATATCATAGTATTTCATAGTTTTTCATACTAATGCTATCTTTTCAACTTCAGTTTTTATTGTTGGTTGCAGAAATGCAACTGTATTTTGATTTTTAAACTTTACTAAGTTCTTTTATCTCAATTGTTTATCATATTTGGTACTCTAAAAACAAACATACAGGTGTATGATCTGTGAAAATTGGTATCTATATTTCTTTTACTTTCTATCCACCCAGCCATCTAATTTTTGCTTCCTTGTCAAGGACTTGCCATAAAACGCTAAAAAGAAGTTAACAAGTGGGCACTAGTACAGCAATTTGGGAGGGCATGTGCTCAGTGTTTCAGTGTTAAACATAATGACTGTCACAGTTTTTGTACACAATACTATACATCATAAACGTGAAATATTTTCTTTTATGCTTAAATGGCTTTTTGTTTAACATATATCAATGCTGAATTGTATCAAATCCATTCCATGTTTCTACTGAAATTGGACTTTTCCTTAATCTGTTTGTATTAGAGCATGTTCAAAAATTTTAAAGCATTATTTCAAATCTGTATTCTTGGAAAGGAGCTTTTTT